GCCTGATGAATAAAAGAAATGATTTTTTTTTTTTTTTTTTTTTTCTTTAGCATGCAAGTTCCACAATTATTACGCGCGTACGCGTTCCGTTACGATTTCGTTACGAAAGCGGGGGACAGCTGTTGCTTTTGATAATGCGATGATAAATCTCCCTGCAATACCTCTCTTATCACTTCTTCACGCCTCGATATTTTGTATCTCTCGCGTATCTCGGTATTTACTTTCAAAATATTTAAGTCCAATATTTTTAACTTTTCCAAGCCTCCAAGGTATCGCGAGGTATTGCTGAAGAGTCTTGTAGTCGCGAGTATAATACAAATCTTTCTCGAATCATTTTCAAAGTTCGAAAAATTCTCTCTCCGTAATAATATTCTGAGATTCATTTCAATTCCCAAATCTTTAAATCTTTAATTTTAAATACTCGATACAAAACTCACGTATGGTTTCCATGCATTTTCCCCCGTTAGTTCTTTTATAGAAAGCCCCTCTTCTATTAGAAAAAAATTCATACATGAAATTTAAAATATTGAAGCTTTAATTTACTGCGACTCGATTATATAAATTTCAAATTTCCTCCCGTTAGGGCAATTACAGTTCCTTACTTAATTAGATCTTTCATCGCAATCCGATGTTATAAATTCCACATAAAAATTACAGCAGCAGCGACGACGAGAGTCATCCTAAATATTATATAAATATACAAATCTCTCTCAGTGATTATTCAGACAGATAAGATATTAATTTTTTATTATGTACTCGGGCTACATACAATTTACATCGTACAATGTATTTAGGACTGTTTCCAACATAAAACGATTAAACAAAAGTGTACTAAATAATTTAATTATTAATTTGTTTATTTCTTCTTTCTTCCGTGTAAATTATTCATTTATAAAAAGATGTTTACATCATGTGTAAAGATTCGACGAATTATTATTCGATGAAAGACGATAAAAATATTTTAGAAATATATAGTCTAGCAAATGGAAAAATTTACATTAAAAAAATTCTTGTCCTTAAATTAACTTTTATATCACTCCGTACATTGTCCGTTTTTTAATTAATTTCTTTATTGGTCTTTAGACCGATCGCTTCAAGAAATTTAATAAGAAGGCCACAATCATAATCACAATAATTTTGACTCGACAACAATGAATAAAAGATTTGAGAAAATATTTCAATATCACTATTCATAATACAACATTTAAGCTTGCTGTAAAATGAATCATCGAAAAATACACTTCGATAATAGCAACAGAAAAGGAGACAAATTAGAATCACGCGCTAAAGATAATTAGCGAAAACAAGTTGCAGCATGCTGTAATTATTCGTATTTATAGACAGTATAATTTGTATACACTTGTAAAAATATATCTCGGAAATGCAAATGTCAACAGACACAAACCCAAGTCACATGCTTAGAATTATCACACGCTTTTTATTATAGAGATGTGTTTCCAAGCGACTCATTGCAACGAAATGAATGATGAACTTCATAAATAATTCATCATTAATTATCACTTAAAAGCCGACTGATAAGCGATGTTCCCTCAAACAGATAATTTTATACATGCATACAAACATGTATGGTATTACCAGTGGATAAAAGGCTTTCAATTTTTCAGTGAAAATTGCACAAAACGTAACGTGATGCGATACTAAGAAATAATATCCCTACAATTTCTGACATGAAAGACAAACGTTGATTAACACGGTATCCGTAGCTTTTTAATATAAAAAAAAAAAAAATGTTTAAATATAAGACTGAAAATAACTAATATTATTGTAATATAAAATTATAAATAAAATCGAGACGAAACGCGAGAAAAATGTTTCTTCCTCGATAATAAATCTTTTCAGAAGACGCTTAAAGCGACTTTATTCATCATTTTATTAATTAAAGCATTATTCATAACATATATCGTAATGAGAGAGACCCTTCTCGAATTCGCAGTTTAATCAAATTGCCTCCGCTGACTTTCAATTGATTCTTT